TTGGTTTCACTCGATTCGCAGATAGCGAAATCTCAATCAACCAACCGTCGTTTTTCTTGCAGACTGTTGTTGATTTTGAGTGAATGAGGATAAATTATTGGGATAGATGTCAAGAAAAGGGAAAGAATTAGTGTCGGCGCATATGGCAAAGGTCAAGGGACGCGGAGGGTCAAGGAAGCTAACGACTGGGGGGTGAAAAGATGTGCTACTCGAGATATGCACGTAGGTACCTAGATGTAGATAGGAAAAATCGATCTTTTTCTTACACGAGTAATAAGGAAGTCATAGGGTAAAGCAAGGTTATGAGCATGCAAGCCATCGACGATTGAAGAGGTTGGTTAGTTTCTCATGTTCATTGTTGGTTTAACTGTTCGTTCTAGATGCATTTGTTGGTCTTGGTGGGTGAATCTTCATATGAAAAATACCTCCCTTAGTCAACAAGGGTGGAGTGAGGGAGGGGAGGGGAGGGTAGGTAGGTAGGTGGTGGGTTGTGCATTGTGCATTGTGCAAGCGGCTATCTGGAGTGACGTATTGAGTGAGGTTTGACTTTGCGTTTGACTTTGCTTGGTGGGATGAAAATCCGTTTCCGAGTTGGCGCCACCATTTTCATATCTCCGAGAGTCTACGGAGTATAAGAAGTACACGGATTGTGTTCCTGGTGGATGGGCGGTTCGAAGGATATCTCTCACGAGTAGCAAACTTTATTCCTCTCTAATGCATGTTACGGTGACGACCCTTCCAGATCCAAACACCATGGCAACATGTATGTATACAAGACACAACTGGTGATTCCTCGGTAGGCCTGAGTTCACACCGAACGGACCTCACTCTGGGAACGTTATCAAAAGCCATGTCCACTCATCCAGGGTGGGAAAATTGGAGAAGTTGGAGGAGTTGGATGTCGGATATTGGATATTGGATATTGGATATTTGCACATATAAGAGAGAGAGTGGAGTGAACAAGGGTTACGAGAGGGCTTTTTTCAATCTACTCCGTCCTACTCCGTGTTACTTTGTTACTTGGGGTTAGAGAGTGTGCAATAGCTACCCCACTAGATTTGTTGGATGGCAAAGCCTCAACAACAAATAACGACAACAACGACAACACCCAACGCTAAAGAATGAACAATTCATCGTGAATGCGAAATGATTCCAAATTGGCTTCGTTGGGCTTCATTGCATCTTAATAAGGCAGAGAAACGCTTCTTCCGTATTGATTACTTTTTTCCTCTTTCCTTTCTTACCCCTCCATCCTTTCTTTTGATCAATCGAATTCGAAGCATTGACTCACCTTAGCTAAGCAGGTTGGTTGACAGGAGAGGCAAATCCATGTCTGGTCAGAATCACGTGAATAATCACGTGTATTACCAATCAACCATCTACAGAGTAGACCTAATCAATCAATCAATCAATCAAGCTGCCTCCTAAGGTTTGCAAGGGGACGAAGAGTGATGTTGGTTGCTATCCCAAGTCAAACAAGTCAAAAACGAAGCTCAAACTTCATAGGGCGTCTATAACGTTAACCATATTTCACATATTCAATACTAGGTCCTTTCCTTTATCTGATGGCTACTTCTAGTGAAGAGCAATTGGGTCCATCGAAGTGCACGTGAATTGTTGATTAATCAGCCTCAAATCTTCAATTTGCGCCCTCTTATATTTGGTATTGCCTGCAGAAATTTCGAGACAAGACATCATCAATATTCATATACAACATTGTTACATCTGAAAGGTCAATCTTTGTCTCCGATCTCCGCTAAAAAGCAACATGTGAAAGCTTAGATCTCATCGTTGCCGCTCAGTAGTTCTGAGGTTGAAGTTATTGTATACATGCCAAAGATCTCACAATTCCGAAAATCACTGCCGTCCCTGATTCAAATACCTACATGTCTCAAAAAAATGAGAACTTCGGCGCCTGGCACTTTATACAAATATCTCTACGCAACAATTGATGAAAAGTGATGCTATTTTTGACTCTCACGGCTAATCATGACAAGGCAGCACTGCGGAGGCGGAATACCATATCAATAGATCAACGGGTTATCAAATCAATGAATGCTCATCTGCTTCGCCAAAGTTGACGATCTACCAAACCGTCTTGTATCGTTTTAACTTCTTTCCATCTATAATTGAGGTTCATTTTAAGAGATTACATTCATCATGGGACTGCAAGATTTCCCTGGGTTCTCTGAGGACCCCTTTCCTTTCTCGGGCGTGTTCAGAAGTGGACAAAGCCATCGTAGTGCCGAGGATTGAATAACGTTCTTTTTGTTTTCGTGGACTACTTCTGTCTTTGTCCAATCTAGGTTAGCCTTTGTCGGCTGCTCAATATCAAAGAGGTACTCTAGATATCAGAAATTGAGATTATTTCTCAACAGTGCAAAGACAAAGAAGCCATACGCAGTTATTATGCGTGTGACTTCCATGCTAAACATCTATATCCTCGAATCATTCAGCTATCTCTCTCAAATATCAATACTTCATAACGATTTGCAAAATGTCGGGTAAAAAGACTCTTAGAGAACAATTTGCAGCCATTCACGCTCGCGAAACAGGCAAAAGTGACAAGCCCACTACATCCAATGAGCAAGAACAAGACATATTCGAAGTTCCCGTTGCCCAACCTGAAGCTGCGAAGCTCAATCTCCATGGAGATGCGGGCAAACAGAGTGGGGAACAGATGAGAAATTCGTTGACAACAGCTCGGACAGGGCAGCGAAATAATGAGAGTGAATTGCAAAGCATCGTAAGAAGGGCCACGGTGTCACGTGCCCAACAGAATCGGTCTGTCTTTGCGAGACTAGCAAGACAGACGACGACACCTAGTGCTGAAATACGGGCAGACCTTGCGCCGGAAATCGAACAACTAAGTTACAAGTTGGATTGTCAAAACGATATACTCAGAACTTTGGGTGAAAATACCGATAAACACGCCGAGGATAACAGAGTTTTAAGCAGGGCGGTCGACGAAAGCCTTGCCAAAGTCAAAGAATATCAAGCCAAAGTACACGAGCAAAATTTGCTAATAGCCCGATTGGAAAGCGAACTTGCAACTGTTAAAGCCAAGGCTGGTGCATTGCAGACAAGCAATGAAACATGTTCTGTAGAGAAGATATCCAAAGATGAGATGATCTCAAAACTTTTCAGAGAATTGGCCGAAAGCAATCGACAACTGCGAGAATCAGAGGGAGCCAGAGCAGCAGCGTCCAAGTCCCCAAGTCCTTCCATCGATGCAGCCCATATCCAGAGTATCAGAATCAAGGATAGCGCAGCCGACAAAGAAGAGATCACCACCTTGAACTCGAAAGTCTCAGCACTTGAAGAAGAGTTACATGCTGCAAGGGTGCAACTCAAAGAATTAACTCTCAAAGCAAGACAGATGGCTGAAAATCACGCAATGGAGATGGCAGAGCTCACAGAGGCGAAAGATGATCTTGCAATCGAAATGGCTTGCATGAAGCAAAGTCTGATATCCCAGAAGGAAGCTGCAGAGAAGCAGTTAGAAGAGATGGGAGTTCTTGTAAAGAAGCTCAAGCTGGAGCTAATCGAAAGCAAGGGCAATTTCCGATCTTGGTTGCGAATCAGACCTCCACAGGGCACTCTCGGAAAGCAACCTATCTCTATCAAAGGCGGTGATTCAGTCGAAGTCCTTGATCGACATGGCACTGCCAAAACTTTCAAATTCGATCGTGTCTTTGCCCCTGAATCCAACAACGCTGTTGTTTTTGGTGACTTGAGCGAAATTCTCGAAGCTGCTCTTCAAGGCTACGACATTACTATCCTTGCATATGGACAAACTGGCTCCGGGAAAACATACACCATGAGTGCCATGCTCGACATGGCAATGGAACAAATCTTCACTCAGCTAGCCAAATCCTACGGGTCAGACTACAGCGTCCAGGGCCGCTGCATTGAAGTCTATGAACAAAAGGTCTACGATCTTTTCAAGCCTGGACGAGAACAACTAAAGATATCAACCGACTGTAGCGGCATGTGGCCCATCCGCGACCACTTGCTTCAAGTACACACTGCTCCTTTCACCAGCCTTGAATCCGTGCAAGAAATGGTCCAGGAAGTAAACAAGAATCGTACCTCGGGTCAAACTTCCAAGAATGACACTTCATCCCGATCCCACATGTTTTTATCCTTCCAGGTAAAAGCATCCAAGACCGAACAATCAGGGGCAATCACAACCACCCGCTCCGGAATCACATTCATCGATCTCGCTGGTTCCGAATCCTTAAAAAATGTCACTGATCGCGTGTCAGAAACTCAGGCTATCAACGCCGAACTTTCTGCTCTGAGATCAGTGCTCACATCCATGGGAACAAACCAAGCACGAATCCCCTTCCGCGACACACAACTCACCAGGCTCCTTCAAGACGGCTTCACAACCGGCAAAGTCCTCTTTATTCAAGCAGCTAGTCTGGGCGAATTGGAGGAATCGATCCACACGATGGATTTTGGAGGCTTGGTTAGTAAAGTAACGCAGAAGAAACCGGCGAAGAATGTGATCACGGCGTTTGCGGGTACGGAATCGGTTGCGACGGGAGAAGGAAGAACGACCCCGACGACCCCGACTCCGACCCCCACGAAAGCGGCGCCGGGTACGCCGAGTACGAGAGGTGCTAGGGGTGGTCCGAGAGGTGGTGCTTCGGGAAGAAGTACGCCGACTCCGAATCCGAGAGGGGGCGCGAAAAAACGAGGGACATGAGAGGAGATGATGATGAGGAGGAGGAGATTTGGGTTTGAAGCTGGAGGATCTGATTCTTTTGCACGGACTTGCGTTTCTTTTCTTCTCTTTTATATTCGTTCTTCTTGGAATCTGGGTATGAGGATAGAGACTATAATGGTTAAGGTATAAAAATATAATTATAAAGTATAAACAATAAAACAAATCGATTGATGATACATTCGGGATGTGGAAAAGAATGTAATCATTCAGTGTCAGTGATAGTGATAGAAATAAAATGTGATAGACAAGAACAATGATGAGAAACAAGCAGTCAATCAGTGTTTTGTTATTTGTATATCAAAATCTACAAATCTGAAATCTCCTTATTACAATCCCAATCACAATCCCATGTACACAATAATCGTATACAGATATACACAACATACCCAGTTCACTTCGAAATTCGAAATTCTCAAGCAAAACTCCCTTGAAAGTTAGAATATCTAGCTCTTTTACTTTTACTTTGACTCAAGACTGAAGTTTCCACGTGAGCCCGCTCGTAGAAGCATCATGATTCACGGATGAATAAACAACTACTCTCCTTGGACTCCCATCTCCCGAACCTCAACCTCCATCCTTGCCCCTACAACCCCATAACAAGATACTTCTCCCAATCTCTCAACCATATGTTCTATGATATCTCTTCCCTTCTGTCCATGTTCGAGATGACGCGGTGCAAATTCCGGACTCGATGAGAAACACTGGGTTTCGGGCGTGGTTTTGTTGTTATGGGGATCTTTGTGTTGTTTGCAGATGAAGGATGAGTTTGGGGATGTAGATGCTGATTTTTTGATGGTGTGTGATGAAGAGGGGGGAGGAGATAGAGAGGGTATGTAGTGTATTTTTCCTTGGGGTGATGGACTTGTATTTGGAGATGCAAGAGAAAAATCATCGTCGTATCTCCATGATAAGAAACCTTTCTCTTCTTCATCCTTATTCTGTGCTTGTTTTTGATCTCCATCTTCCTGTGCTTCCACCACTTCTGCCAAATTCTCAAGCGTGAAATTCCCAATCCTCTGGCCCGTCTCTCGACTAAAAATCCGGAGTTCATGTGTACCTATCTCCAGATCTTCCTCTCTCTCAGCATCACCATCACTCTTAATAACTTGCGTCGTAGATCTGTAGATAGAAGTAGTTTCAAAAACTATCGGTACAAAATTTCCTTTGAGAGTTTTTCCATCGTCGGTAGTGTACTCTACATCTTCGATGCAAAACCAAAATTGTTCGTATGTTTCTGGAGAGGTATCTGAATTCTCATTCTCAATCTCATTCTCGGATGTTTCGGATGTATTGAATACCCAGCGAGTCCAGCGCCAAGAAGCGGTGGAGATACATCCAGGATTGATAATACGAAAGTTGTTGGAATCGATGGGGAAGAAGTTTTGGAGGAGGGTGCGTGAGGTGGTGAAGGTTAGTGTTGCGGTGGTCTTCGTGAGGGTTGGGTTAAGGTGGGAATTTGAAATGGAGTTGGTTGTATATTGATGAGGAAGATCGGAAGAGGGAAGGGGTCCTAGAAAATGGGTGTGATTAGAATAGGTTGGAGGTCAGAGTGATAACCGGATTAGGGAAGACGTACCGAAACTAGCGGGTCTCAAATAGTAAGTAGATAGCTCTGGATTGCGTTTCCACATCCATTTTCTGAGTTCGTGGGTCGAATTATCCCATTCGTCATGCTGCAAGTTGTGGTTTACGAATTGGCGGACTGGAAAGAGATATTAGTATGCTGTGGAGAAGGTATATCCAAAAACAATGACAATGTGAAGAAATAATAAGGAAGATGACGCACTATCAATGATAACTTCATCTCCTTCCACCGGATCCCTCCCCAAGATCCTCGAAAATTCCTGAATTCGATGAGCTCTTCCCATTCTGATTTCCTCGTATAATTTCAATCGTTCTTGAATATCATCTTTCCTCACATTGCCCGGAAGAACAACAGCTAAAGCAGCAGCATCTTCGATAGCGCTACCGGCCCCTTGACCTTGATGAGGCAAATACGGGTGTGCTGCATCGCCTAGCAATACAAGATTTTCCTTTGTAAAAGTAGGAAGGGGATACATATCAAGAAGACGCCAAACTTTAAGCGTTCCAGTTGTACTTGTATCTGAAGAATCAGACAAAGGAGCCATTTTCAACAGTTCCAACATATCTTTATCCCAACCATCATAAATCTTCAACAGATTCTCTCTATCACCTTCCTTTCCCCATCCTTCTCCATTATCGGTATTCTCAGATAATGCATCAGGATGTAAACACACGAAATTAAGTAAAGAATTTGAAGAAGTTGGATAAGCTATCACGCGCCGATCCGTTCCAAACCACATGATCAATTCCCCATCTTTCTGCATGAATTTTGCGGTTTTGGGATTAGATAGAACGGAGGAACGGGAGAGAAGAAAACGATAGGCACTTTTCCCACAGGCGAAGGGGGAGACTTTGCATTCTGGAGGTTGCACAAAAGAACGAGTGAGACTGTGGACACCGTCTGCGCCGATGATCAAATCGCCAGTGAAGGATTCACCATTTGAGAAATATACGGTGGATGTGGTGGGATCGAGAGTGGTTACTTTGTGGGAGGTGAGGAGGGTAATGGGAAGGTGTGGGGGGGATAATGTGAGGGCTTTGGATTTAAGATGGGAGTGAAGTTGTACGCGATGGGCTAGAAACCAGGGCTAATGAAAAATTAGTTTGGATTTGCAAGGAATTGAAGTTAAGGGGAAATACATGATGCCATTGCTTGTCTGCCTCGACTAGATCCATAGTTCGATTCAACAAACCTGATGATGTGTACTCTGTCATCTAGATTCAACAATTCATATGAGTGAGTGACAAGCAAGAATAAGCATGATCGTCAAAAATGATAAGAAGATCATCAAATAAAGCCAATAGCAAGGAACATCTTAGCTCACCCAATCCAAAGAATTCGCGCCGCTCTCCTCTAGAAATACACCCAATCTTCTCAATATTCCATTCGCATTCGGTTGAATATGAATCGCAGCCCCATATTCCGAGGCAAATTGGGTTTGTTCGAAAATCTGTGATCTCCTTGTGAGCTTGGAAACCAGTGATCAAGCTTAGCTTCTTGCGAATGCGGGAAAGAAGAATGGCTAATACGGGTGAGAAATGGGTAAGATAGATGTACAGTAACTTCATGACCCTCTTCTCTCAAAGCAATTGCCGCAGTTAAGCCACCAATGCCAGCTCCTATGATGATAATCTTGAGGGGCATGTTGGGATTTTGGTAAGAAATACTCAAGTCTGTTGCTTTTTCTTTAAGTTGAATGCGCTTTGCAAACTTCCATAGATTATATGAAACTTGAGATAAAGATGGTGAGGCAGTGAAGAAGGAATGCCGTTTTTGTAATGCCGGATTGGCAATTGTTGAGACCAATGACAACGCAGCTGAATCAACAGTCTCGCTTATTGTGTGACAAGCAGCTCCAGTTGTCTATGCATTCATTAGTGCTGCATGGAGTGGAACCAATCCGATGTATACACGAACCTAGGTATTTTCAACTATCTGCATTCATTTGCTAATGAGCAATTAAGATTTTTTCATACGTAGTGTATATGCCAAAATTAAACATTTTTGTTCCATCCCTGGCACACTCAATCAATGCTCAAAACGTCTACGACCTATGATTGCAATCTTTGATCACAAAATTTCTATGGATATCGAGGCTCGTGTAGCGCTTGACTTCATGTTCCAACATCTAGAACCAATTGAAGTCTTCGATTACTCTAAACTCCTAAACTCGAATTAACTTTGCGCACGCCTACCACTCTCAATCATATACAATCTTGAAAGTTCTTGTATGAAACTTCCAGCTCGATTTCATCAAACTTGTCAGGCTCAAAGCTTTCGGAGAAATATGATCTTCCACAATTTTGTTGTCTCCCAAGCTTCTACCTTATGTCCGTGGCAAGTTGCGAAAATAGTAGAATTGCTAGCATATTAACCATTTACCTTTGGCATGCTGATCTTGGCAAACGTCCTGCACAGGGAAATTACCAGGCGCCGGCAGCAAGAATTTGGTGTCAGTAAGCCCTTAATCATCTGAACCTTTTACACAATAGAATTCGGATCCTTTTCGAAATCTATCTATTTACGTCACTCCTGTCCGGTCCCTCCCCAGTGCCCACCGTCTCCAACGGCCATGCCATCAACTCCTGCAACTCAGCTTCGTACCCTGCTAGTGACAGAGCCTTCTGTACGTCCAAGATGAGGTTTCGTCCACATTCTCCAATAAACCAGTCATCCCGAGAGGCATGAAGTGCCACTCCATAATGTGCCAAGATTACTAATGCAAGTGGTCGCATCTCCTTCAGCAGCGTTGCAAAGCCCCGGTCTGCATCAAGTAAAAATGGCCATATTAAAACAACCCCATTGTCGGCTTCACTTGAGTTTAGAAGTATGAAGACGTCTCGTAGGGTGCTGATGGCGTTTTTGTAGGCACTCGATTCTTCAGAGGTGAGTGAGGAAGGAGATGTGTGCCGAGATGAACATGATGGTTGCGCAAGTGATGTTGATGACGATAGATTTGACGGCGATGGCGTTGACTCAATACGTGTCATAAGGAGCCTAAAGGCCGAGTCCGAAGAATGGAGGCGAATTTTGGCGTTCGACTCGACTTCGCAAAACTGGAAGCGATTTGTGACGAAGGCAGAGATGGTACTATCTTCTAGCCACTGCCAGTAGATACGGACTAGTGTGGAGGCACCTTGGAGAAGAATGAAGAGGCTAGAAGACAGTTGAATAGGACTATCAAATTGCTGCTGCTGTTGATGGTTGGAGTAGCCAGAGGGCATTGATAGAGAGTATTTGTTGCTGCAAATAGGAAACGCGAGGGTACATAGAGAGATCAATGTAGAACAGATGAACATCGCAGAGCAGTTATCTGGTGTAATGCTATGCAATTCTGATCGATAAAGCGAGAGAAAGATGTCGTGATGTCGGATTGCCGGGGCAAGATATATGTCTCTTTTGGCGGGATTGAGAAACGCGAGATGAAGGGCAGAGATATTCAGAAGACCGTGCATCATGAACGGGTGATCAGAAGCCATTTTTGGTATCGTGGTCCGCCATAGATCCTGGATTGAATCGATACAGGAAAAGGTCAGGTATGTCTCGGTAACAAAGTGACGCATGAGTTCTAGATCTTCCCACAGGATTGAAGCACCAGTCTCCGCACTTGAGAGCCGCGGAGGAGTTGAAATATGACTTGGATAGGAAAATTCCCGGTCAGAAACTGGGGTGTAGGTTGTAGAGATGACAGAGAGCTCGCGTTCTTGCTCGGAGACGGTCGAGGTGGTGGGTGGATGGAGGGAGGGCCTAGATGTCTGACTGATATCCTTCCGCCGCACCCCATAAGTACAATTTTTTTCTTTCTTCTGACATAACCCACATTTAGGATGTCCTTGATCGCACTATAATATTGTCAAGATTTCCCAGAAAAGATCCTTAAACCACGGATTTACCTTGAGGTGAGAGGCTTTGCACTGTATGCAACCATAACGACTTTTTGTGTGAGGTCGCCTCGGCGGCATTTTGAGCAAGGTTACAGCAGGTAGTCGAGTACGGGGTAGACGCTATGTTAGCCTTCGTGACAAATTAAAAAATGGACAGATGCATTGGGAACCATTGTAGGGTTGTATGCCAGCGTGGCCAGGAATAGGATGGAAGTCAATCTTCCAAAGTTATGGCCCAGTGCAAGTCTCAAAATGGCCCGAGGTTGTGTCAGGGGCTCTGCTGAGTAAGCAATACACATTCGAGTAGACCATACCATATCAGGATAGGGCATTTTGTTTTGATTAATAGGGAAAATGAAGGCAGTGAGACAAATTCCAGCCCGTGTACATAGTGTTGAGCGATTTGTAATTATATAAAGTATAATAAGTTAATTATCGTTGAGTTTAATATATTATAAAGCGAGTTCGAAGTGTTTCGACTACTACATTTAGTAAGCTTTATTACTATTTTACATAGCCTTAAGTCGAGTATCCTACTTTCGGGCCACTCCTGTTTTAGGCCACTCTTTACCATTAAAAATCTCAAAAAATGGAATTTTTAACTTTCTTATTTATAAATAGAATTTATTGAAAATTTATATATATATAATTCAGATCGTTTTAAATCTAATCTGAAATTTTTAGATTTTTAAGATTTTTCTGTATTAAAATCTAAAGCTTTAAAATATCGATTTTTTAATTTATATAAAAATTATATATAAATTTAGAACTTTTACAAAATCTTTAATAACTTTTTAACAATAATTATTAAAAGAGAATTATATATCTTCTCGAAAGTTTTGAACTTAAATATATATAGAAATTTAAAAAAAAAAATTCAAAAAATTAATAGATATAAAGATATAATATATAACGTGGCTTATCATTGAGTGGCCTATATCATCAAATAGCTCACTTTCATTTTAATTTATACCTATCTTTTTTAACATATGTTTTATTAATAACCTATAATGAATTCGAATAATTAAAAAGCTTATATATTCCTTATTATTGAAACTATTCATAAAGATAAAAAATTAAGTATTCGAAAGGTTGTTATACTTTATAATATTCTTTATATAACTTTTTGATATAAAATAAAAGGTTTACTTTTTTATATAAAAACTTAAATGAATTGTTATAAGATTATAAATTAAAAGAAAAAGTAATTATTCAATATATACTTGATATAGATTTAAAAAGATTTTTATTTAAATTAAAGAATATAAAAGATATAGTAAATAATATTTTTGAATTGAAGGGTACAAAATATATTAAAAAGCTTTAGGCACATTAATTTATAAAACGTTGAATTGAATTAAAGATATGTTTTAATCATATTTATAATTTTCAAAGAGTTTTTTATAAGGATTCTAAACTTTTTAAAAAATGATTTCGATTAGTTATAAATATATGAGTGAAATATAATATTTTGAATAAAGATTTCTACAATTTTAATAAAATAGATTTTATGATAGGGATTATATATGTAATAATAATAATAATTAATACTAAATAAAATAATAAAAGTAAGATAGTACAATTAAATAATCGAGAATGGGCTATAGTAATAATATATAGAAATAAAGAGGGTGAAATTATTCCTTTATTTTTAATAATTTAAGAATAAATTTATCTCTTTAATTAATACACCGAAACGAATCTTTTTGTGAAATAAGCTATTAAATCTATATCTAATAAATGGATGAATAATAAGACGGGTTTAAAATGATTAAAACACTTCGATAAGTATATTAAAAATCGAAAAAAGGGCAAATATTGAATGTTGGTATTGAATGGACATAAAAGCTATAAATCAATAGCTTTTCAAATATACTATAAAGAGAATGATATTATATATTTATGTTTATTATTGTATTTAAATTATTTAATTTAATTATTTAATATTAACTATTTTAACAATCTAAAATGTTCATATAATAATCAAATTAATAGATTTATTAAGGTATATATCAATTATATTTCAAAGGTTGAATTCTTTATAGCTTTTAAAACTATATATAAAGAATCAATTATTTTTCAGAATATAAAATTAGAATTCCAAGAAACAGGTTTAATTTTATTTAATCTTGAAATTATACTCTCGAAATTAGATATTCAAATTCATATACCTATTCCCCCCTCTTTCAATCTAAATTAATGGATTTCTCAAATCCCTTACAATCTAATAGAAGCTCTTTCTTAATTAATATTAATTAAATCTCAAATAACTTATTATTAATTAAGTTCTTTTATATTTATATTCAAAATTATGTTAGTTTTAGTTAAGGGTATAGAAAGATTAGTTTATAAGAATATACTTTTAAGTATAAAGAATTATACATTTCGAATAGTAAATGAGGCATTAAGTAAGTATTGATATGTAAAAAAAACTTAATTACATTAAGAAGAAGTACTTATTGAATAAAAGGCTCTTGATATATTATCTTAGTAAAAGGTTGATATTCAGATTTAATACAATAAGCATCAAAAAGAAAGGAATTCTAATAGAGAAGTATTTTCTAATCGATATTATAGTAAATACGAAAAGATAGGATATAATATAAGAACCTATCAAAATAATATAATAGATCCTAAATTATTAGATTCTTAATAGTTTCAATCAATTGATTTAATTATTGTTGAATAATATAAGTTTGAAAGTGAGCCACTCGATGATAAACCACGTTAATGAGTTTAAAATAGTATAAATAATCCCTATATTTTTTTTAATCTCTTAAGGTAAATATATTATAAATTTATAATAAAACTTTTTAATTTATTTTTAATAATTTTTATTAAAAAGTTATTAAAGATTTTGTAAAAGTTTTAAATTTATATATAATTTTTATATAAATTTAAAAACCGATATTTTAAAGCTTTAAATTTCAATACAGAAAAATCTTAAAAATCTAAAAATTTCAGATTAGATTTAAAACAATCTAAATTATAATAGTAGTAATAGTAGTAAATGTAACGAACCTAATAAACATTTAAAGATTAATCTTAGAATTAAAAGCTATAGAACTAAAGAGAATATACTATAAAGCTATATATACACTTGGCTCAAAACTTATGTTACGATGGGTAACAGAATGCCATGTGACAAGTGTCACGTGGTGGAGTCCCCAGGAGCCAGGGCTCCAAGGAGGTCCTTGGGAGCCAGGACTCCAAGAAACTCCAACCAACATCAGAGTACGAAGATCTATATAAGGGAATGGGATTTCATTACAATGTAGAGCTTCGTGCTCAAGAACAATCATTAGTTTCATTACTATAGTTACGAGAATTGCAACCAGTTACAACCTTATTGAATTCCTACTTGAAGTTTAGTTTAAACCATCTCGAGAGATCTCTAGACACTTCCACGTGACCCTAGAGGCAGCTCCCGTAACACTATTCCCCCATCAACCCTACAATTATAAGATTCGACTCCAAAAAAAATTGTTTTACCATTTAATACCCTATATTTTATATCCTATACTAAATTAAAAGCTTTAAAACAATAATTAAAGAAAAATCTTAAAAAAGAATTTATTTGATTAAGCTTTTCTTTTATTATATTATCTATTCTATTTATCAAAAAAGTTAATAAAGACTTTCAATTCTATATAAATTATTACATTTTAAATAATTTATTTATTAAAAATCGATATTTTTTATTATTAATAAAAAAATTCTTAAATAATTTAAAAGAAATGAAATATTTCAATAAAATTAATATTATTTTTGTTTTCAATAATATAAGAATAAAAAAAGAATAAAAATATCTAATTATATTTTATATTCAATTTAATCTATTTAAATCCCTAATTATATTATTCAAATTAATAGAAGTATCTATAATCTTTTAAAAATATATTAATAATTCTTTATAAAGATATTTAAATATATTCTATATTATTTATCTAAATAATATCCTAATATATAATCAAATTTGAAAGGAATATATTTATTATGTTTAAAAGGTTCTATAGATATTAAAAGAAGCCGGCCTATTTATTAAATTCAAGAAGTATAAATTCCTGAAATTCGAAATTAAGTTTTTAAATCTTGTTATAAGAAAAGATAATATTTAAATAGATTTAGAGAAAATTCAAACAATTATAAATTAAAGACTATTTATTATTATAATTAATATTTAAATATTTATTAAATTTATAAATTTTTATCAACAATTTATTAAAGACTTTTTAAAAATAATCAACCTAATAATAAATCTAATTAAAAAGAATGTTCCATTTTTATAAAGCTTTATTTATCAAAACATATTCGATTAATTAAAAAGAGTATTTATTAAAGCTTCTATTCTAGTTTTCTTTAATTAAAAGAAAAAAGTGATTTTGAAAACCAATACCTCCAATTATATATCTACTAAAGTCCTTTTTTAATATAATAATAAAAGAATACTAAAACCTATTATATTTTTCTCTAAAAAATATTCGATAATTGAATATAATTATGAGATTTATAATAAAGAATTACTAATCATTATCCACTACTTTAAGGAATAACACCCCAAACTAAAAAGTATTATATTATTAATCCAAATAATTATTAATTACAAGAATTTAAAATATTTTATTATAACAAAACTACTAAACTATTATTAAGCTCATTAATTCAAATTCCTATTCTAATTTAATTTCCAAATCATTTATCATTTTGAAAAATTAAATATTAAATCTAATATATTAATCAAAAAATCAGAAGATCTCTTTAAGAAAAAAAATAAACATTTTTTATATCAAAGCCATATTATCTTGAAATAAGAAAACCTAAACTCTAATCTATTCCTTATTATTACTACCCTAATCAAACCTAAAATTAGCAAAAAAGTACATTTCATTATAACCACCTATAGCCAAAGAAACCCTAATTCTATTAATACCATCGATTATTCAGATTCCAATACTATTATAACTTTATCAGAAAATAGTAAAGTTATAAAGCCTATAATTTCATTTATTATATTTATACCCAATTTTACAATATTATTAAAGGATTTAAAAATCCTTTTAAATTTCTCTACCAACTTGTTCAATCTATTTCATAAAGATTATCAAACCAATCCTATATCCGAATCTATTCTAAAATCCCTATAAAAAAAATCCTCGAAATACCTGAAAATCATTTTTACTAAATATATTAAAAACAATAATTTATTATATTATTAAAGGAAACTATATATTCCTAATTATAACCCTCTGAAAACCTACTTACTCTATTTATACTACAAAT